CAAAGACTTAAACTACTTCAGTCTGTGTGCATTTAATTTATTTAATTCACGAGTTTCACAATTTGAGTTGAATTACTGAAATAAATGAACTTTTCCATGACATTCTAATTTATTGAGATGCACCTGTATATGTGTATTTGTTTAAAAGATCTTCGTGATACTAGGGGTATTACGGTAATACATGTTTTAATGAGCGCAGGTGCTGCTTGTTAGCACATGGCACTGAGGAAGGGTTAATACCCCGAAAACGTTCTGCACTTGCACTTTTGCACTTCTTTCCACATATTTTTGTGACCTCTGAACAATAAATGGAACAAACCTTTTGAGCTGCATTTGGGCGAGTGCGGATCTCTTTCATCTTTGTATCTTTTGGATCTATGCACCATATGTTTTTTGCCTACTGGATATTTGGACGAGTGTTTGGTGCTACACTCTAAAAAATGCTGGGTTAAATATAACCCAGCGCTGGGTTAAAAAGGGACAAACCCAACTATTGGGTTGTTTTGACCCAGCGGTTGGGTTGTTTTGTGGGAGGAGAGTATTAAAATTAATCACACTACGCGATTTACTAACATTTACGCTCGTCAAAGTACTGGTATTTGCACCATTATTTAACGCCAAAAAAAGCATGTCTTAAAGCAGGTGGTAATTTGTGCTGCGATTGGTAGATTGCGCTGGTCATTATGGAAATGATCAGGCTACATCTGTGTTCTGTGTGAGCATTGTTAGTAAATCACACACAGAATTTCCCCTCCCATCAGCGCTTTCATGGAATTGCGGTCTAATGCTAATTTGCCCTGTTTAGTAAATCTGGCCCTATACATGCAACTAAAACCCCCAGGAGGTGGCGGCAAGTCCCTGAATGAGCGAATTATTCGTTCAACTCATTCGTTCAAATGGCTGATTCATTCAGAAATGAAGACTGCTTGTAAATGGCTCACACTGAATCCTTGGCTCACTTGATTTGTTCATAAAGTGTGTTGCTCAGAAAGTCATAACAGTTGTGCTGTGGTTTCTTTTTGCATTTACAAACTATTTTTGTTGCTGAAATTGAGCAAAAACAGACAATACTGACAATACTGTGTCTAAAATTTAACAAGATTAACTTCTTGTTTATTGAACTGTTGTATAAAATCACTACTAGATTGTCAAGCATGCAGATATTCGGGAAAAAAAAACTGCACTCTTGCTCGTGTGATATTGGTAAACAATTTATTATGATATAAATACATGACAAAAACCCATGCGAGGCATTTTTTGCCCTCATATCCTGAATTTTAGGGGCATTTAACTGTATTATAATTGACTCCATCACCCAGTAAGACGTCGCCTTGCATCATGTTCATTAGCAACAGCATTAGATGACGTCAAAATTTTAATTTGTAATTTTTTTCCATAATTAATCATAAAAAATTAAAGCATTGAATCAGCAGGCCTAACAAAATGCAAGGCATCCTGTTTATTTTGCAATGTGGAATTAACTATTTTCTTTGAATGTGCAAGACTTTATTAGCCAATACAGGTTTATAACTAGATGCATAAAGTGTGGTAAACAGTAAAACTGTATGCACTATGATTAAGGCTGTCACAATTCCTCGAATCAATTTGTGTACTCAATTTTTTTAAAAATCCTCGACTGCATTTTGCCCGTGTCGAATAACCGGCAAAATACTGGAAGTGGTGCATTCCACGTACGAGAATCCATGAAACGCATTTTAAACCGTTTTCCATGGCTGCATAATAAAAAATCATAATAAAGCATAATGCTATTGTGAATTCACAAACGCTATGATTCAATTAAATAAAATGTATGCGATGCAGGTTTAATACATGTGCTTTAATTATTTACATGCATGTTGGTTATGTACGTTCGTGTCAGAGTCGCTCCGTTCACAGTAAATGCTGCTACACACAAACTGTTATCATTTACATGTGTGGAGGTATTTGTTATAATAATGTAATGTGCGTTAGCTCTGTTGTTTATAATACTTTATGTATTTTAACAGTTTTGTTCTATAAAACCATATGATTACTTGCTTTTGATACTTTATTTGAACTAATTATTATTGCCAAATTGCTATTATATATGTATTTTAAGTACTTTTAAAGGCTATTGTTCGCTTAGGTCTATTTTTATTATTACAAAAAAATAAGTATAATAATCTGATTACTCGATTAATTGTCAGAATAATCTACCAATTACTCAATTACCAAAATAACCATTAGTGACAGCCCTAATTACAATAATATATTAAAATAAAATATCAAAAGTTTATGATATCAAGCAGCATAACAGACTGTTTTTGTACAGATAACTGGCAGAGGATACACCAGAAGAAAGTATTGAAAAAAGGTATAGAGTTTAGAGAGATTTTTTTTTTTTAAGTTGAACTTTTCAACTTGATCGCTGAGTTTTGGGAAATGTTGTGTCATGCATGAGATGTTGCAAAAGAAGTGAGACGCGAGTGCGATGGTCAAACATGGTCAAACACAGCAGAATGCAAAAACACGTTCTGTGTGAACGGCCTCTAGACAGTAGACAAGATTCAAGATTTCATTTGTCACATACAAAGTTGTATATACCGAATACCACCTGCAGTCAAATGTAAATCATGTCCGCTCCATAGACAGTGCATATATTTTAAGGAAATGCATGAACATAGAAATAATAATGAAAGACAAAAGCAAACCTGAAGCAGTGCAAAGAGTGTATACAACAGAACTGAGACACAATAATTATTCAAATGTACAAGGAATGTGCCAAAATTAAGCACAAATTACTGCAAGGCATTTCACTAGGTTTGCAAAAGTTGAACTTTTCAACTTGATCGCTGAGTTTGGGGAAATGTTGTGTCATGCATGAGATGTTGCAAAAGAAGTGAGACGCGAGTGCGATGGTCAAACATGGTCAAACACAGCAGAATGCAAAAGCACGTTCTGTGTGAACGGCCTCTAGACAGTAGACAAGATTCAAGATTTCATTTGTCACATACAAAGTTGTATATACCGAATACCACCTGCAGTCAAATGTAAATCATGTCCGCTCCATAGACAGTGCATATATTTTAAGGAAATGCATGAACATAGAAATAATAATGAAAGACAAAAGCAAACCTGAAGCAGTGCAAAGAGTGTATACAACAGAACTGAGACACAATAATTATTCAAATGTACAAGGAATGTGCCAAAATTAAGCACAAATTACTGCAAGGCATTTCACTAGGTTTGCAACTTGGTTAGTCGGAAAACAAAGAAAATGTTCAAATAATAAAACATTGTCCAGTTTCAGATAGATTTACCTTGATGCTGCGAAGAAACTGGTGACCTGGTAACCGAAGCTAGCATAGTATGCATGCTCCATGATCGCCATCAGCTGAATACAGTTATAACCTGGGTGTATGATAGTAAAGAGAGCAGTGCTTATTAACAGATCTTTGCCAAAAATCAGTATTCTCTCATTTACTCGCCCTCATGCCAATCCAAACCCATATGAATTTCTTGCTTTAGTGGAACATTCGATATTTTGAAGAATGTTCATGTAGATCTTTTCCATAAAATCTAAAAGTTACCTAGACACAGTTAATGTTGTGTGTTCATCACACAAAGCTGTCATATTGCTTCAAAAAACATGTACTGTAATACAGTATGTACTGTAATAACTTATGGTGTTGTTTATTATTTGTATGTTGTATTATTATTATTATTATTATTATTATTAAAACATTAAACCGTAAATATAGTTTAATAATAATAATAATAATCATAATTATTATTATTATTATTATTAGTATTATTATTAGTATTATTGTTAATATTATACAATATTTTTGGATGACCTACACTTTTAAAGAAGCTTCAAATCTAATCTTTTAAGATTATTATTTGTTAATAACAAATTAGTTTTTTTTGCAAAACAAACATGTGGCAGCAAAAAAGTACAAATTCTGCTGTTCTGCTGATGTTGTGTCATCCCCACTGCAGTGTGTACCAAATGCCCACGTAGACAGTCACGGCTTCACATAATTTCAAAACAGCTGTTTTCATTAATGAGAGGATATAATACAACAGACAAGCAAAAATAATAAATTGTAAAGGCCACAGAAAACCTTATCATGAAAACACTACTCAGGTTGATCCCAAGCAACCACAGTACAATGAATACGGCCGTCAAACCCAACAAAAAAATCTTCCTTCTTCCCCCTTCAGTTCTGACCAGTAAGTGTCCACTACCAGAAGCTGGTCTTTTATACGAACACAAAGTAGTCACCCGGACACCCCGTCTGAATGACTCATTGGTCATACACGAGTCTTATCTGTCCAGATAAGCCACAAAACCAGCGTTTTGGTTCCCCACGCAGGCTGTAGCCGCACTGACATGGCTTTGAATCTGTACGGGAAGAACTCAAGAGGGAGATCCAGGCTCGTCTCACGTCGTTTTTTTTTCCTGAGCAGATTGGTTTATTTATTTATCTATCTATCTCTAGCTATCTTCCTCGCCCTGCTTCAGAGAAAGTTTGGGGATTTTTGATGAGGTGTGACAGCGCCAGGGGCTCGTCTCACCGACGATGCATGAGCAAACACGTACACACACACACGCACACACACAGAGAGCGCTTTCGACGCTTTTTAGATGCCACAAACACAATTGTCTAGGGAAATGCAACTGGTTACCACAAAACAATGAGAACTCAAGGGAGCAACAGATACAATGCAACAACACTGGTTTAGTGCATGGACATATGCATGAATTATTCTATCATAATATTTGATACTGCGAATGGCATCGTGGGACGTTATGTGGGAAGACGGTCATTTTCAATCTAAACATGCAGGCACACATACTTCTGTTTTGCCTACGAGCAATAAAAAAAGTATTTTTGCATATTTTTGTATTTTTCGATGAAAACTTGAGTGGTATCTGGGCCTGTGCAACTTACAGGCACAATGTTGGAGTGGGTCTGAATGTTTTCAAAGATTCCCATGTTTCTAAGATGCTAAAAGATCCCACCTCCATGATATTTCTATAGAATTACTGTGCCTACATATAGATGGGGCCCTCAGGGGCCTCTGTGGCCCAATACGAGGTATGTGTATATTCTCCAAAAAGAGCACATTCCATGCATGTTTCCATGATTGTCTACTAGGGCTGGGCGATATAGCAAAAAAAATGTACCAACGATATAATGTTTCATATCGTTCTGTATCGATAATTATTTACATTTTTTATAACCTTTTTTAAAACGAAGAGCACACACAGAGAGCGCTTTCGACGCTTTTTAGATGCCAGAACCACAATTGTCTAGGGAAATGCAACTGGTTACCACAAAACAATGAGAACTCAAGGGAGCAACAGATACAATGCAACAACACTGGTTTAGTGCATGGACATATGCATGAATTATTCTATCATAATATTTGATACTGCGAATGGCATCGTGGGACGTTATGTGGGAAGACGGTCATTTTCAATCTAAACATGCAGGCACACATACTTCTGTTTTGCCTACGAGCAATAAAAAAAGTATTTTTGCATATTTTTGTATTTTTCGATGAAAACTTGAGTGGTATCTGGGCCTGTGCAACTTACAGGCACAATGTTGGAGTGGGTCTGAATGTTTTCAAAGATTCCCATGTTTCTAAGATGCTAAAAGATCCCACCTCCATGATATTTCTATAGAATTACTGTGCCTACATATAGATGGGGCCCTCAGGGGCCTCTGTGGCCCAATACGAGGTATGTGTATATTCTCCAAAAAGAGCACATTCCATGCATGTTTCCATGATTGTCTACTAGGGCTGGGCGATATAGCAAAAAAAATGTACCAACGATATAATGTTTCATATCGTTCTGTATCGATAATTATTTACATTTTTTATAACCTTTTTTAAAACGAAGAGCAATAGAATTTTTTTTTTTTTATTTAACCACTGTATTTTTAAATTAACCCAATTTATTGAGACAAACACCACATTTTTTTTTCTAAACACACAATAAAAATTAAATATATAATTTATAATGTTCTGTATGCAGATTAAATAGGTCTTAAGGAAACTTTTGGCATGTCTCCCGAGGCCACAGGAGGGCACAATGAGCAAAATAATGCAGCACATAATGTTAACGCAGGGAAATAACCGTCTATAAAACGACGTGCATTACGTCTAAATCAACTCATATAAATCAAATATAATTTTGTAAATTGCATAAACAATTATGAACAAAACAGCATCATGTATTTATGCATTGCTTAATACAAAGAGCCGAATCGCCCATCACGGAGATTGCATTTAAAAACATAAGAGTGAAAAGGAATAAACCTCCACAAGTTTGCAACGTGTTTTCTAAAAGTTTAAACTGTTTTAACTTTGCATGGTTCTTGTGTGAGACGCGAGTGCAGCAGTCATATTTGTCCGTCTAAAATGCGCTGAATATGCATCTGTGTGAATGGCTGTGTTTCGGTTTTCAACTAATCAAGACCTTCTCCGCATTGAGCTTCTATATTTCTCTAATATTTTGAATGCATTACACAGCAGCGGCGCATCTCGTGGGCTAGACTGACAAAACATTAAAATGCAACAACGTCACTTACATCATCACCGCATCTTGTGCGCCACTGATGACGCTCCCTGACGCACTCCTAACATTCAAATGCAAATGTTTATTTTAAATTCGACTAATATTATTATTTTTTATTCACAATCTCCTCATCACAGGCAGGCACAGCACTCAATTCAGCATGTGTTCATGTTTGTGTGTGCTGTCTGCGTCATTCATAGCACGTGCCTATATCGTGCACAATATCGAAAATTTTTATATCGTTATCGAAGGAGGTGTACTGTCGATAAATATCGATACCGTTTTATCACCCAGGCCTATTGTCTACTTCTAAAAGTTATGTTCTAAAGTTAAAATGTTGATTTAATAAGGCCATCACCAACTCATCCTGAAATAAGAATTTTAGTTAAATGAAAATGAACATAGATATAAACAAACAATTAAATTTCCAACTAAATCAATGTTGGAAACATATGCATATAAAATTAGGAAAAAAAATAAATTGTCAACAACCTACACAAAAAATTTCTAACAGAACCTAAACAAACAAACAAACAAAAACTAGAAACCACCCCATTACAAAAAACAAAATGAAAACAAACACAACAACAAACAAACAAAGAAGTTATGTTTCAAAGAAACATACGTTCTAACAGTGTTATTCTAGTAAATATGGATGATAGATATAAATACATACATAAATTAAACATGCATATACAATTAGACAAAGAAATGTTAGTCAATGACTCTAACGTAAATAAGTAAATAAGTATGTAAATAAGTAAATAAATAAATAAATAGACCAATGCAAACAAATCAAAACAAACAAACAAAAAGGTTCTGTTTCATTGAAGCCAGATCTTTTCCAGTTCTAACAGTGATATTCTTCTAGTTAAAGTGACATTTTGATTTAATAAGGCCACCACCTACTCAATACTCATACTGAAATGAAGAAAATTACCATTTAATTCAAACACCAAAAAGCACACTCCTTTTATAAGCACTTCAACGGATTCAGACTCTCTGACTGAGATAAATGTTTGGAACTTCTGCTGTAAAAAAATATATATATCACCCCTATGCCTACACCGCAGGCATCTCTTGACAAATATTCCTGTCAACAATAAATGTTTCAAAACAGAGTCCAGGATCCAGGAAGCAAAAGATAATGGTTGTTATTAAAGAGATCATTCACCCAAAAATAAAAAATAAATGTTATAATTTACTCTCATTTGACTCCAAGCCTGTTCGTCTTTGTTTTTGAGTGATACACTAAAGGAGAAATGCTAAATAATGTGCTGGTTGCTCTTTTCCATGCAACTAGCAGTCATAGTCCTGAATTGAAGTCAATATTCACTCATGTTTATCCTCTCCAGTGAGTTGTTAAATGCTTTGACTCAAGAAATCAAAAACCAGATCAGTCTGGTTTAGAATGGTTTTGTGAACTGTATCTTACCTCGGTCACAAACAGACCAATACAAGTCCCCATTTGTTTATCACATAAAGCTATTATATGGCTTTGAATATAATCACATTATAATGCATTTATTGCATATGTTTTGTCATTTTGGTATCCGAGAGCGAGAGTCCCCATTCACATTCCTTAAATAGAAAAAGTGACCAGGACATTTTTCTTTTTTTAATTCATCTTTTATGTTCCACAGACGAGATTTAGCGAACTAACACTCTAACTGTCATATCCCCCCAATCTCTAATCCACAGGCTTCTAAACCTCATCGTCTGTGCCTGGTAAATACTTGAAAATACCCCCTGCATCTCCAAAACACATCGGCACACTCAAACACACCTCTCTCCAGCCCTCATCCACGACAGCACTAATGAACACTCCACATGGCGGCTAAAGCCTGTAAACAGGGTGTTGACCTGCAGAAAGGGGCTTGGTTGAGAGAGCAGCCTCCCCAGAACATTGGCACCAAGGCCAGTGGCTCATCATCAATGCAGCAGGTCTGTCAGGTTAAGCACCACTGCAGCTCAGATACTTTGTGATGAAGGAGGAATGTTGGCAGGTAGACCATAACCTCTCTCCAGGCTAAAAATATTGCTTGTATCCTTATAAAAATGTCCTGTGATGGTACCATCACACAGTGATATACTGGATGGTAATACTTTGATATATACTATTGTACAAAATGATCAAAATATTCATTTGGCACGATACCTTAATAATACTCCAATATCATGGTACTGTCATGGTATATCTCCAACAACATGGTAATACTCTACCATAGTAGTACCATAGTACTTCTCTGTAATGCATCAAAAAGAATAAAGTGCTTTAGTGATGAAGCCCATTGTGTTTTTGTTAACAGAGAAAAATGAAAGTGTCTCTCTTAAGAGCATAACATTATGTAGTAATTATCTTCACCGTCTATAATGTATTTTCATTTGAAAAGTTTAGTTAAAACAATGATTTGAAGAAAGAAAGAGTATTAAAACTTGTGCCAAATTCTAAACTGAAAGCGATAAAAAGAGACAACTGTTTAAACATTTTGTTTCAAAAGGCCACAGAGAAAAATATCAATATTGAATCGGTCAAAGGACACACTCATGCGCGGTTAAAGTAATTCGTTTAAAAAAAAAGTTTAAAGCGTTTGTAAAACTGTCAAAGACAAAAAAAAGGAACCAACATAAAACCAAGGCAAACAAAATGAAGAAACCATCAAACGAAATAAAGCAATAAAATAAAGACTGTGTTAAAAACAATAAAATTAATTAATTAAAAAAAGGACGGCTATAGTAATTTGTTTGAATAAAACCTTGCCGACAAAGAAAATAATTACTGTAAAGCAACGCAAAAAAAATAAAACCAACATAAAACCAATGCAAACAAAAAAACATCACGACACAAAGTAATAAAATAAAATCTGTTTTTAATAAAACCCACATCCATGTGTAGATAAAGCAATTTGCTGCAATGACATGTAACTGTTTAATATAAGGCAAACAAATCAAAACAATAAAAAAAAAAATTAAAACCAATGCAAACTAAACATCACAACACAAAAAAAAAAAAAAAACATGGCTGTTTTTTTTAGTTTTTTTTTTACCTTTTTTAAACTAGTCATGATAAAACCACTTTGAACCAAAGTCTATTAAGCATAAATTCTAATTATACCAACATTTTGTGTTAACGATGCAGTCTCTTACCAAGATCTTTGATCCTAGGCAGCACGTTGTGTGTAAAGTTGCTGTAGGATGCCACTTTGCCCTCCGGAGAAGCAATGCCAACATGGGACTCATATATCCGTAAGCTCCTTGGCTTCTGTGGACGAGGGTGCTTGTGCTGGCACAGAAACAGCAGGGAAATATCTCTGGAATAATTCTTCATCCAAATTTAACATCACAGTACATGCCAATACAACTGAAGATAAGATGGAGCTGCTGAACAGAGCTGACAGTAGCGAATTTGGGGAATCTCACCAAATCATGACTCATGACTGGAGGACATTAACGAGCATATATAATTCATAGTCTGATGAGATGATGTTCACAGGCCTGACTTGACATTAAAGCAAAATTACTCTAAGTAGAAAGCAATGAAATAGCTCATGTTGTATTCATAAAGACGTTTTGTTCATCCTCCCGTTTTCAGAAACAATTTGCTTTGCTTGGAAACTTTAATTAATAGGGAATATACAGTACACCCACATGCCCTAACTAGAGTACTGTTATATGAAAGCGAATTTCTGCCATGGAATAAACATTATATTTAAAGAAAGTTATTGCATATTTTTATCTCACAATTATCTCACTCTTTGGGATATGGGATTGTAAGTTTACAATTCAGAAATGCAAGATGTAAACTCAGAATACCAAGAAAAAAAAGTCAGAATTGCAAGATGTACAGTAAACTCAAAATTCAGAGAAAAATGTCAGAATTGCGAGATGTAAAAATCTTAGAATTTTGCTTAAAAAAAAAAAAAAAGTTTTTGTTTTTGAGAATTGTGAATTGTGGTATGTAAACTCAGAATTCCGAGGAAAACGCCAGATTTGCAAGTTGTAAAATTAGAATTATGTTAAAAAAAGTTAGAATTCCAGAATGTAAATTCAGAATTACAAGAAAAAAGTCAGAATTGCCAGACATAAACTTATAATTACAAGAAAAATTCAGAATTGCAAGATGTAAACTCAGAATTACAAAAAAATAAAAAAATAAACCAGAATTGCGAGAGGTAAACTCAACACCAAGAAAAAAGTCAGAATTGTGAGATGTAAACTCCAAATTCAGAGAAGAATGCCAAAATGTAAACTTCGAATTCTGCTTAAAAAATTTTTATTGTGGGATGTAAACTTAGAATTCTAAGAAAAAGGCCAGAATTGCAAGATGTAAACTTATGATTACAAGAAAAATTCAGAATTGCAAGATGTAAACTCAGAATTACAAAAAAAATAAAAAAATAAACCAGAATTGCGAGAGGTAAACTCAACACCAAGAAAAAAGTCAGAATTGTGAGATGTAAACTCCAAATTCAGAGAAGAATGCCAAAATGTAAACTTCGAATTCTGCTTAAAAAATTTTTATTGTGGGATGTAAACTTAGAATTCTAAGAAAAAGGCCAGAATTGCAAGATGTAAACTTATGATTACAAGAAAAATTCAGAATTGCAAGATGTAAACTCAGAATTACTAGAAAAATTCAGAATTGCAAGATGTAAACTCAGAATTACAAGAAAAATTCAGAATTGCAAGATGTAAACTCAGAATTACAAGAAACATTCAGAATTGCAAGATGTAAACTCAGAATTACCAGAAAAATTCAGAATTGCAAGATTTAAACTCAGAATTACAAGAAAATTCAGATTTGCAAGATGTAAACTCAGAATTACAAGAAAAATGCAGAATTGCAAGATGTAAACTCAGAATTACAAAAAAAATAAAAATAAACCAGAATTGCGAGAGGTAAACTCAACACCAAGAAAAAAGTCAGAATTGCGAGACGTAAACTCAAAATTCAGAGAAGAACGCCAAAATGTAAACTTCGAATTCTGCTTAAAATTTTTTTATTGTGGGATGTAAACTTAGAATTCTAAGAAAAAGGCCAGAATTGCAAGATGTAAACATAGAATTCTGCTAAAAAATAAAAATTAGAAATGCAGGATGTAAACTCAGAATTCTGATTAAAGTAAAGTTAGAATTGCAAGACATAATAAACTCAGAATTCTGATTAAAGAAAAAGTTAGAAATTTGGGACATAAATTCGCAATTCTTTGAAAAAAGTCAGAATTATGAGATAAAAAGTCACAATAACCTTTTTTAAATTTTTATTAAGTGGCAGAAATAAACTTCCATACTATTCTCACTTACACGGTCATCTAAATGAAGAATTCATTACATGTACAAATAAATGTTGAGGACCCATTATAGTTCACTACAAAATAAAAGGTTGTGGCACATTAGTGCTGGGGGGAAATAATCACTTACAATGTAAGGTTGAGGAGGGTCCCAATGTACCCAATCATAGATGACGGACTTCTCATGCCTGGTCACATACTTTGCCCAAGGTGAGATTCGGTACAGCCGCTCACCTGCACTGGTGTGAACAACCACCTGGGAAGAGAGACAAATGAGGGATGTAACGCCAAGGGCGCAGAGAGAGGGTCGGGACGTGGGCACAAGCAAAGAGTGCTGGGTAATGCAGCAAAGAGAAAATGTGTTTACAGCTGCCAGAGAGCAGGGATAAAGGGCCAATCTCATGCAGAATGGTCACAGGGTATAAGCAAAGAAGACGTTTGAGTTCAGTCTGACCGCTGGAGGTGAAAGAGGTTGTATACTATAAAAAAAAAAAAAGACATTTGAAATTATTACATTGGGTTTCCAGCTAAAAATATTTGTGGCAACAAGCAGCTTCTGAAAGGCATATGAGTATTTTTAAAGAGAAAACTGCATGGTTATTAATGTGATCACCAATTTACAATCACTGAGTGTGGCAATAAATGTGCAATGACTCTGGGAAACATTTGTTTACACTTATATTTTTAGCTTGGTACTTGCTTTACAAGCATATACATACAAACTTGAAAGAGTAACATGAATAATAGATCAAACACTTTCTGTTTTTACCAATATGCTCTAGATTACAACTGTAGACAGAGAGGCCAGGAAAGATTATGTGGGAACTTCATGTCACCAATTTTGTCACTCTCAATTTTCTCGCAGAATTGAGAATCTGCAAACTCAGGATTCTGATGTGTAAACAGTCAGAGTTATTTTGAGATTTAAACTTAGAATTATGAGGGAAAATAAAAATTACAACTGTGAGATGTGAGAAAATAAATTGCACAATTGCGAGATAACTTGCGATTCTAAAAATCGTGAGATGAATTGTGAGATGTAAACTTTGAATTTTTGTGGAAAAAATGTATGTTTTAATGTATGGAAATAATCAGCCTGGACATTCTGCTAAATTACTTCTGTTCTTATTTCTGTTCCACAAAAAAAAAAAAACTGATGTGAGTTTGGAATGACATGCGAGTGAGTAGATAATGACAGAATTTGATTTGTAACCACATTAGGAAAAGTTTATTATGCCACACTGTGTTTTCCTCATGGAGAAGAAGATTTCTAGTGCTGTCTAAAATAAAGCTATTACCCAGCACAAAAGCATTGACCAGAAACGGAAAGGGTCGTTTAATCCTTTGTGTACTATCGGCATTGTTATTTATAGCTGAAGCAAAACTATTCACTCGCAGATATTAAAAACTCATCATGTGTCTCAGATAAGACTACAGAAGCTATCCTTTCTAAAGGGCATGCGAAGGCAGAGTGTGAATTTAATGCCAGAGTGTGTTTTTTTATTGATACGTAGAGGTGTTGATGAGGGGGCAGCACAAGATCTGATATACAGATCCTGGATACCAGAACTGAAAAGGGATTGTAAATTCCAATACAACATAATATAATAATATTATAATATATAATAATTACATAATTACATAATACATAATTTTTAATAAATTATAATATAATATAATATAATATAATATAATATAATATAATATAATATAATATAATATAATATAATATAATATAATATAATATAATATAATATAATATAATATAATATAATATAATATAATATAATATAATATAATATAATATAATATAATATAATATAATATAATATAATATAATATAATATAATATAATATAATATAATATAATATAATATAATATAATATAATATAATATAATATAATATAATATAATATAATATACATTTTGGTAATACTACACTCTAAAAACTGCTGGGTTAAATATAACCCAGTGCTGGGTTAAAAAGGGACAAACCCAGCTACCGGGTTGTTTTGACCCATAATATAATATAATATAATATAATATAATATACATTTTGGTAATACTACACTCTAAAAACTGCTGGGTTAAATATAACCCAGTGCTGGGTTAAAAAGGGACAAACCCAGCTACCGGGTTGTTTTGACCCAGCGGTTGGGTTCAAACCAAACCAATAGCTGGGTTTGTCCCTTTTTAACCCTGCATTTTTTGAGTGTACATGGCCCAAATACTATTTTAATTCTATTATTCTACACATACATCAAAATGATTACATTTAGTATTACAACAACTTTTAGAGTCATTATATTGACATTTCAATATAATACAACATACGGTGTCATAACTCTAAAAACGTTTGTAATACTAGACAGCCCTGAGAAATTTTAATTATAGTATTCTATATTATGAAACAGAAACCAAATATGTTGTGTTAAAAAATAAAATAAAATTAAATTAAATGTTTTTACATTTTTAAAACACACACACACACACACACACATCATAGTTTCAGTTATTTAAAAAATATATTTATTTTTATTTGGAGCTATGATAATGTATTGTATTGTATTATATTATTATGTATTAAAATATTATTAAAGTATCATAATACTAAAGACTGAAGTAATGGCTGCTGATAATTAATTAAATTAAAGTAATAAATACAATTTTACATTACGTATAAATATATATATA